TTTGCTCTTAGTGACGTGCACAGCTTCGCTCACTTTGTTTATTTCCCAGGATAACTTTTAACCCAAAGAAGAATCACCCTTCTGCCTTTTAAATGGGAGGAACTTGGACCCAGTTCTTTAAAAATCCACACGTCCAGTTTGGCCCTGCCTCTCTTAAGGTCTCGGGCAGGAAGAAGTATTGCAAAGCCTGCTACCCAAGGATCATTTTTAGCAGAGTACTCATCTTGGGATCCTTTGCACGCAAAGTGCATCCTCTGCCACTGAGCTACTCCTGGAATTTAAACTTCTTATTTTCGATTAGATTGCAGCCATTGGCAGAAATACCCGGGTATTCGGGTAGAAGATATAGGACAGTTAAAACAAGGACAAACAGATTAAAAAATAGTTTTTATTCGAGAGCTATTATTGCTTTAAATGCTGTATGAAATTGGAATTTGGGTGACATTGGTGGTTTAAGTTGCAATGTGAAATTTGAACTGCTGCCTTCGGGTAGAAGATATAGGACAATTAAAACAAGGACAAACAGATTAAAAAATAGTTTTTATTCGAGAGCTATTATTGCTTTAAATGCTGTATGAAATTGGAATTTGGGTGACATTGGTGGTTTAAGTTGCAATGTGAACCTTAAGGGGAGTTATGGGATGGTTGTGAATGGTTGTGTGAGTGTATATGAATATGGTTCACCGAAATGATTGCAACTTACTATGTACAATGACAATAACGTATATTATTATTATTATATTCCACCACGCCAAAAGTTACCTCTGTCATAGGTGAAAACCTCCAGGTTCATCATCTGTTAATTAAACTGTGAGGACAGTGGCAATGAGTATCCACAAAGTGCGTTCTTTTCTTTAACTTGTGTCCACGTTAGCAAAGGAGCAGGTATATGCTGAATCTTTAATGAATTCACACTTCCGTTGTAATGTGTAAAATGGCCCAGAACAACATGGATGTTTTGGACAGAGACAGGCTGGAATGGTTTCCTGTTGCTACTATAGCTTCTAATATAGATCAGCTGTAACAGGGCTTCCACATGGCAGGTTTCCCTGGTTGTTGGTTTTTTTTATTGGCAGTTTAGAAGCATTATAGCAAAATACCATTATACCAAAATATGTATCTCTTTCTTTGAATTATCAGTTGCAATTTTGTAAAAAGTCTCTAGCCCCTTTCCTTGCAGAGATACACTTTTTTTCTTTATATCTCTGTAATGAAAAGTGCTAGATACTTACTTTTTTTAAAAAAATTAAAGCTAAGAATTCAGGGGATCTGAGGTACATATTGCTATAACGGTATATTGATATCACACTATTCAAGCACCGATTTTTTTAAAAGCCCCCCACTGGTCACAGAGAAAATGCCCATTGTGGGGAAAATCCAAACTTTCCCACACCTATGTGGTTGCTTGTCCAGGATTTTCTGCGATCTTTCTCAATACTCTGGAACAAGGCCAGTTTGAGAGAGATTGGCAAAAAGCCAGGGAAACCCCAGGAGGTGCAAAAATGCACCACAATGCTGTGGGGAAATGGGGGGGGGAGAGAGAGACGGATGCTGCTTCCCACCAGTATCGGACTTGGGGCAAAGAACCCATTTGGCAATACCCAAGGTATGTTTGCAATGAAAGAAAGCCCATTTTTCTGTCTGTTGTTCAGTGGAGCAGACTTCCTGGGAACTTTCCCCCAGCTTCTTTTGGAACCTGGTAGAGCAAGGTAACCAAGAAGGTAAGACAAGGTCTAGTAATAAAACAAATAACAAATGGGCTTACATATATAAAAAAATCAGCACAACTTTAATACGTAGTAAATAGTAAAAATTTCTATTAAAAGCAGACACGTTGTGGCCTAACGGCCTCCCTCAGTGCTACAGATAAGTCAAAATACACACTGTAAAATATAATCAGTCACAATTCAAAATACATCAGTTCTGACCTGAGTCTAAAAAAAACACTTTACAGGAAGTAAGGGCAGTTATTGATTAAATAAAACCCTCTTCATTTTGGGGATATCTCAGGACCACCAAAAGCCATTTTTAAATTGGAGGGTATTCCTGGTCCTAAGGTCAGAGTAACTCGTAACTGTATGGTATATATGTGTCCACATGCAGGAAGTAAATTCCATCAAGCTGGTAGAGCAAAAAGCCACATCTGTATGTCGCAACAAAGCACAGTGCTGTTGTGCTCATGCCGAAGCACACCCCCTCCCACCTCCCCTTGAGTACAAAGCTCAGCTGAGAAGTTCCGGCAGCTCCTTGGGAGACTGGCCTTTGTTTTCTCCCCACAAATTAGGATTCCAAACAGGGATTAAGTTGCAGTTCAGAGCTGCCATTCATGGAGAGGAAACAAATTCTGGTTTGCCCACCCGTCTGCAATATGAACGTTGATAATCTTGGTCTACCTTACAGCCAGGGCTTTTGTAAGGAAGCGAAGTGCTTTGAAAACTAAAAGCATTACCTAAAGGCTTGCTATTATTATTGTTATTATTTATCATTGTCTTCCAGAGATCAGACATGTCTTTGCACAGGTGCTAGAGGAATATGGAATCATACATACTCGCGTACCTATTGAACCAGACCTTCCCCACTGCAGCTGGATAGATCCGCACTTGATGGATTTTTACCTGGGTGTGGAAAAGGATTCGCTTGACACAGTGGATGTTTTCACAAAGCATGGGATAAGGTGAGGACCCCATTCTTGGGAAATACCTCTGATCCTCACTAGTTCTTGAACATGTTGGCACTATTGGAGATATTTATATCCCACCTCTCAGAGCGGAGATTTTTGAGGTGGCTTATAATAAAAAAGAACTAGACAATACATTTAACATCATTAAAGAATCCAAAGCAAAGACAACCCATAAATTATAATACTGAGCAGCAGTGAAGCTAGTTTGGTGTAGTGGTTAAGTGTGCGGACTCTAATCTGGGAGAACCGGGTTTGATGCCCCACTCCTCCACTTGCACCTGCTGATGTGACCTTGGCTGGGTCACAAGCTCTGGCACAGCTGTCCTTGAAAAAGAGCAGTTTGTGTCAGAGTTCTCTCAGCCCCACCCACCTCACAGGGTGTCTGTTGTGGGGAGGGGAAGGGAAAGGAGTTTGTAAGCCGCTCTGAGACTCCAAGTGAAGGGCGGGGTATAAATCCAATCTCTTCTTCTGCTGCTGCTGCTTTTATTTATTTTGTTTATAGCCTGCCTCTCTTGCTCTGACCTAAGCATTAAAAAATGTATACATACACCACAAGACATCCAGTAAAGAACACAACAGGACTAGGAGACAGCAGTAAAAACCCCAAACACCCAACAATGTCTGCACCCATCTCAGTACTCAAATGAAGTAAAGGGGAAGAAGGAAGCAAAATTAACACAAAACTCGGGGGGGGGGAATCATACTGGGAATAAAAGATCAGATTTTTGTGGGGAGTTCCACAGTCAAGGTGCCACAGCAGAAAAGGCCCTGCCTTAACCAATAAAAAGCTGGCAGTGGTGCCATTTCTTGAAAAGTAACCACTAGTATTTTGTAACGTGACTATTTCAGGGAGGAGCTAAATAGTATCTAGCCGTCATACAAGTCAGTGTAAAGTCTTTAGAATCATTTTGAGCTGTAACTAGAAACTTGGGGGTGGTGGAGGGAATTCTCCCCAATTTTTAAAAAATCTCCATGCATTTATCGGCTCAGATCTATGGGAGAATGTCCATCAGCATAAGGGAGGCAATTTTTATCATTCAGTTTCTGCAGTCACCCTGCCCCCCTGGGGAAATGTAGGACGCTGACACTTAACGCTTCATCTACTGAGGACCCTGCTCCGAACCCGTTTTAAGATTTCAGCGGCCACTGATCTACACGTGGTATTCTCTTCAGCCATAATGACTAGCATCTTGCTTTTTTTAAAAAAAAAGAAAAAGATGCTGCTGCACATGCTTAAATTGGCACCCAAGAACCCAAAGAGTAAAAAAGTAAAAATTGTTTTTCCTCATCTAATGTAATCATTAATTAGAAAACCAGGTAATACAACTTAAGGGCTTGGTAGCATTTGCTTTACTGTGATCTCAAAAACATTACCAATAAAGAGGCGGGGACACTGCTCAATGGTAGAGCATCATCTTGGCATGCAGGAGGTCCCAGATTAAATCCTCTGCATCTCCAGTTAAAAGGGATCAAGTAGCAGGCAATGTGAAAGGCCTCTCAGTAGACACCACTGACCTTGATGAACCATCTGATGTGAAGGACCTGTTCCTGAGGCCTTGGAGAGCCATTGCCAGTCATAGACAATACTGTAGACAATCCTGATCTTGATGGACCAAGTTCTGATTCAGTATAAGGACAGAGCTCTTTTTGTAGAAAAAGCCCAGCAGGAACTCATTAGCATAATAGGCCACACCCAACAGCAGGAACTCATTAGCATATTAGTCCACACCCCTGACAGCACAGCTCATTACCACATTAGGCCACGCCCCCATGTTACCAGAAGTGTGTTTATCCAGCCACACCCACCTTTTGCTTCTTATTCTGTTTACCTTGTTTGTTGTCAAAACCCAGGGCTTTTTTGTAGCAGGAACTCCTTTGCATGTTAGGCCACACACCCCTAATGTAGCCAATCCTAATGCGTTTCTGCTGTTGGGTGTGGCCTATTATGCTAATGAGTTCCTGCTGGGCGTGGCCAACTTGGGAGCCAGCCGGAACTCAGTTCCTGTGCGTTCCTGCTCAAAAATAGCCCTGAGGGCAGATGCATGTGTGTGTAATCTGTCACAGAGACTGTGTCACCCTTTGTGCATGAAGCAACTGCTTGCTCCATAGGCTTTCCAGCAGTGAACTTATTTAATGTTCACCCTTCTTTCCTTCACAGGTGGCCAGATATATATATAGGCTTGAGCACTATGGGAAAAAATATGTCCATGAGCAACATCCTCAGAGCCATTGATAACGCTACTACAGATTTCCTGGCTAAGGAAAATGCCTCCATTCCCTCAAGCTCACCCTCATGCCCAGATCAAGGAATCAGAACTGTAACAATTGAGCTGATGACGCATCCAGGATACCCCAGTGTTCCACCGGTTGGGGGCTGTGGTGAGGGACCAGATGATTTCTCTCAGTCATGGGAACGCTTGCATGAACTCAAGACATTGAAGAACCCAGAGCTGCAGAGCCATTACGAAACAAGGAACATTCAGCTGTGTGCGTTTAAAGACCTTTAAATATGAATGGCTGGAGAATGGCCCTTCAGTTTTTACTGGAGACACAGGGCTGGATTCAGTGTGATGCTAAGTAAATGACAGATGGAAGACCACACACAAATGGAAGGCATCTCCATGCAACATAACTGTAGAAGAATTTGCTATGATGGAGCGTGCTCCCATTCTGGTTGTTGTCTCTCAGAGCCCCTCCTCACAAGAAAGGGGATTACGGGCTGTGATTCAGTAAGAAGAAATTTGAAAACATCGGCAGGGTGGCCTGCATAAAAAACTGAGTATCATCCATAAAATTGAAGATTTTAGAAGTCAGAAAGGAGGAGGAGAAGCTGGGTGTGGTTTTTGTGGGTCTGTCATGTCGGACTTGCCTCTGTTGTGGGCACAGAAGATCCTGTTTTATGGGCTGGAGAGTTAGAATCAAAATATTAGGATTCTAAAACCTTCAGACTGGTCCACTGAATGGGAATTCTGAAGTAGGGACTGTAGAGGCAGGGCTATACACACACATTGAAAAAGTAGACTTCTGTAGAAGACAGCCAAGATTCCATACCAATAAAAGCTGAATTCTACCCCCTGTATAAGTTATGGACAGTTGTCTATCGTCCCTAAGTATCCCGTGTTTGAAGCTGCCCTAGACAGGATCAGTATTATCTCTGACCAACAGCAGTTCTCCAACTTCTCAAGCAGCAAAAAAGTCTTTCCCAGTTCTGATGATCTAAGTACCATTAATGGGAAATGTTACCGATTGAATCAGGGACCTTCTACCTGGCAAAGCATGCGCTTCACCACTAAAACCAAGATGCCTCTGTTAATATATGAAGCTGCTTTATACCAAGTCAGCCTATTGGTCCATCTGGCTCAGTACTGTGTACCCTAATTGGCAGCAAGCTCTTCAGGGTCTCAGATAGCAAATGGTCTTTCTGGGCCCAATTGTCTAAGATCCTTTTCAGCTGGAAATATGAGGGACAGAACAGAGGGCTTGTATGGGCAGAGAGCCCCCATTACAAGCATCGATTACTGTATTGTGGCATAAGGAAGCAGCACTCTTCATCCTATGACGCTCTACACATCTTAGAGCCCAGCGTAGCTGAGATTGTCTCCTCGGAAGTATCCCATAATATTACCAGGTCATCAGAGTACACCGTTACAGGAATATCATTGGTGTTACCAGTGATAGCCTTGTGAAATGATGCTGAGATAGCAAACAGTGGGACCATAATGTAGACCTTTTTTTTGGAGGTTGGTAGCATCCAATGGTGCAAATTTCAGACCTTGAGTGTCTTTTATGAGAAATGTCCCCATCTTTCCATCCCTTTAGCTGAGATTATTATTTTAAATGGGGTTGCAAGTGACAGAACCATATCCTGGCTCTGTCTCCCACCATGGGATGGGTGTATGCAGGATATCCCCTCCTTGGTAAGTTCCTGGCGGGGGCCCCCCCATCTCCTGCTGGTTGCCAGGGCTACCAGACATGGTTTCCATAAAGTTTTTGGGTGAATGCTAGCGTATTGCCCCTGGTGCAGTGCTGCTGCTCCCAGGTTGTGCTGGAAGTTGAGTTGACGTATGAGGATGATGACCCCCCCCTCCAGTTTCTGCCCGCCAGTCAGGTGAGCATTGGTGGGCAATGGCCACAATCACCTGAAGGCCTCCTACCCTAAGTGGGCAAATGGGAACCCTAAATATTCTGCTGCATCGTAGCTGGATAGTGAATATCTCCTCCTGGAAAGCTCTCAGAGTCAATCAGGAAGGAGTGAGGTACATTCTCCCCACATGGATGCTTAATTCCCTAAACCTTCAAGGTTTGCTATGACTGTTTAGTCTGCTTAGAGATCATTAAAGGTAAAGGTTCCCTTGCTTGAAAGCCAGTCGAATCCGACTCTAGGGTTGCAGTGCTCATCTCAGTTTCAAAGCCGAAGAGCCAGCGCTGTCCGAAGACATTTCCGTGGTCATGTGACCGGCGTGACTAAACACCAAGGCGCACGGAACGCTGTTACCTTCCCACCGAAGTGGTACCTATTTATCTACTTGCAATTTCTCGCTTTTGAACTGCTAGGTTGGAAGGAGCTGGAACTAGAGACGGGAGCTCACTCCGTCATGTGGCATCTCGGGTCTCGAACTGCTGAACTACCGACCTTTCACAGCCTGCAGTTCAGTGTCTTAACCACTTGAGCCACCGCAGCTCCTTATAGCTGCGTGCATTTATAACATTGTGCAAGGTCATGGAAGCTGAATTCCTTAGAATTCATAGATCATTAAAGTTGTGTTAAATATTTGGTTCTATCTGAGTCTTGAATAAAAGAAAACAGGTTATACTCAGATAATGCTGCGGCTACTAAAGCAATAGAAAACTAGACTTTTACCCAAGTTTTGTGCCAGACAACCAAAACTCTTTTTGTAAATTAAGCAGACTAGTCAGTATCTTTATTAGACATCAGTTAGTTGGTTTTCGTAAGCACAAGCAATAGACTCTAAACCCACCTGTACTTGTTCTAAGGTTGTCTTCACAACCATGAGAACTAGAAACTTCTTAAATTGAAGCATGCACTCAGGGCCCACATTCTGTGCTTCTCCTGAGTCTTTGTGGAGTGTGCTATAAATCACCATAAAGAAGAAGAGGGGTGGTACATGCTGGTGAGGATATACAATACCATCTTCAGTCTGATGCCATTTCAGACCTCTACAGCAACATTGTGCAAGGTCATGGAAGCTGAATTCCTTAGAATTCATAGAACATTCACTGGTTCGCTGGGCAGATTTTTTATCTTTGCTTTGTCCTTTCAGATGATTGCTTGCTAATCTAAAGCAGTGTTTTGATCCTGCTTCATTAGTCAGAATAGTACTATTCTTTTGCTTGGTCTCCTTTGGAGTAACAGTATACTACAAAACCAGTGTGTTCACTTCACTTACCTTATTGTTTTTTTTTAATTCAAAGGTCTTGAACAGACCGAGATCCAACCCTCCTGCAGGCACTCACCGCAGCTAAATAAGAACCAATAGCAAATGGACATGCAGAAAAATCAAGTGTACACAGTACATGGATAATGCTTGTGTTCACTGTAACTTGTGAATAGGGCTTTGGCCCCTTTTTTAAAGCAGATGCCTTTGTGAACCAAAGCCAACTTCATCAGGTGTATGAAGTGTTATCCTCAACTGGCAAATTTCAGCTGGGGAGGGGGAGAACAGCGGGGCTAAATGTTTGGGGAAGTGAAAACGGCCAAGTACCAAAGTACACATTATGCTGGGAAACTGGGATTTTAGGGGCCTTAGATTGAAACGTAGCATAAAAAGTAGCTTGAGGGGCCTGCTAACAATGGGGGGGGGGGCTTTGACTTTTCTTCCCATAAGAAAAAAGAGACAGGTATCCATTCCACTGGGGCTAAAAGCAGCCTGGAAGGGGTCCTATTTTGGGTGGAGGAAGGATATGGGGGGCGTTAACCCCACTCTTCCCTACTTCTGCAGCCCTAATCTGTATCAGGTGCCCCAGGTGCCTTTTGAGGTTAAAATAACACATTAGGGCATCACGTCAGCTCAGTCCCATCTGTATGGTTTCTGTGCAAAATTCACGAACACAACACAGCAAAGGGACTCTGCGACAACAGAACAATACCTTTAAAAAGGCTGACAAACATGTCTCAGAGTAGTGAAAACACCATGAGAACTTGCTAGCTGTTTGGTGGCATTTTGCCCATTCCAATAAAAGTATCATCTCATGGGTGCTTTGCGCCCCTGCCCCCCAGTGGGACTTGGCTACTGCAACTCCCCCCTCACAAAAACAGGACATTGGCGAGAAAACACCTTTCTAGCTTTGCTGTGTTAATTTGACACCTGCACAGTTCAACCAGGAAGGTTATATTAACACCAATGATTAGTGTTATGAAGAGGCCCAATACTTAGCTTACCGTGCCATGCACAGAAATAGCAGCTTGTGCATCCTCACCCTTTCACTGCACCATTCACAAGCCCCGCCCTCCCAGCCACATCCATGTGCATATCTAGACCTATCTGCCAACGGAGGAAAACACTTCATGCATCTGATAGGGAACTCTGTGACCTGCTAAAGGATATCCTTTTAAGGACTTTTTGTGCTTGCTGTCATGGGTGACCTCACAGCTAGCCCTCCAAAATATGTTATCGTGTTAACTAAGAAGAGATTGGATTTATACCCCACCTTTCACTACTCAAAGAGGTCTCGGAGTAGCTTGCAATTTCCTTTCCCTTCCTCTCCCCACATAACAGACACCCTGTGAGGTAGGTGGAGCTGAGAGAGCTCTTTTGAGAACTGCCCTTGAGTGAACAGCTCTGAAAGAACTTGTAACTGACCCAAGGTCACACCAGCAACTGCATGCGGAGGAGTGGGGAATCAAACCTGGTTCTCCCAGATTAGACCCTGCGCTCCTAACCAAACCAGCCAGTTCTTAGTCATAAACTTTGTGAAACCTGCTATGCTTGGCCACATCTAACATAAACACTCATCAAACTCCCCATTACAGAATTGCTGGGAGGCACTGGGTGGTCCAGAGAGAGATTATAATTATGAAGAGAGTAAATGGTGGCATGATAGTTCACAGTAACTCAAAGCCTCTTTCCTGCTCCAGTCAAGAGCTTGTTGGGATCATAAGGTCTTTCCTATGTCTATCCCATCTGTATGATAATCTGCAAGGTCCTGGGATAGCTACGAGCAGGAGGCTTGAAAATGGAAGGTTAGAATACGGCCGTCAGAGAGTCCAGGCTTGCTAAACAGAGGCAGGCAATGGCAAACCACCTGTGTCCTCCTCTTGCCTTGAAAACTCTACCGGTATACCGTAAGTCAGCTGCGACCTGATAGCAAAAAAAGCAAAATAGAAACTGGACTGATGAATGTCCAGTACGGAGTCAAACCATTCACTGGTCCATCTGCTCCAGCACTGTACTTCAAACAGCAGAGCATTTTTAAGATCGCAGGCACTGGGACTTTACTAGTGTGTGATATCCAAGATTCTTTTGAACGGAGGCATACTGGGGATTGAGCCTGAAAGCGTGTTCTGCCAACTGAACTTCACTCCTCCAATAAAGTGTTCCCAAGAGAACAGAAAAAGAGCCCAAGTAACACGATCCCGTTGGAGTACCTTGCAGGACACTTAATAATCCCTTCCTACCTCCACCCTGATAAATACCCCCAAAAAGGATTTCAAACGTACGATTTGAGTCCTGTTAAAGAACCTCCACATAGCTGACTATACACAGAAAATGGGAAAATATATTGAACCTCAACATGTTGACACCTTCATCTTTGTCGAAGGCTTTCACGGCTGGAGTTCATTAGTTGTAGATTTTCTGGGCTGTATGGGCGTGCTCTTGGCATTGTAGTACCTGACGTTTCGCCAGCAGCTGTGACTGGCATCCTCAAAGGTATAACACAGAAAGATGGAGTACTCCATCTTTCTGTGTTATACCTCTGAGGATGCCAGTCACAGCTGCTGGCAAAACATCAGGTACTACAATGCCAAGAGCACGGCCATACAGCCCAGAAAATCTACAACTAATCTTCATCTTTGCTCAGGAAAAAAAACAAAGTTGCACTTACCTGTAACTATTGTTCATCAAGTATCTTCTGTGTAGGCACACATGGCAACTGTGCATGAGCAGGCCTGCCATTGGATAGAGAGCCAGAAGTTTCTTCCCGCCCAGGGACCATGTGCTCTTGCACAACAGAACCCCCCTACCCTCAGTACCTCTAGTGCTGCCAAAGCCAGGGAGGGAGGATATGTGTACCTGCACAGAAGATACTCGAAGAAGTTACAGGTAAGTGCAACTTTGTTTCCATAATTGATCTTCTGTGCAGTCCCACACGAGGATTGTAGCAAGCTACTCGCCAGGTGGTGAGGCATGCTCTCCTCACTTGAACAGCGAATGAAGAACCACCTCGCCCACTTGAGCCTCACGTCTTGCCTGCAGATCCAAAGCACAAGTGACGTACAAACGTGTCTGCCGATGACCAGGTGGCAGCTCTACAGATCTCCGTCAAAGGTGCTCCATCCAGGAAAGCTGTGGAAGAAGCCATTGCCCTCGTGGAATGGGCATGAATGTTCAACGGGCATGGCAATCTGGCCCTATCATAACGCTCCCTAATGGTCCTGACAATCCATCAGGACAGGGTC